TTTTGTGTATATTGCAGCATGCTTGGTAATTTCTACTGCAGGGTTTGGCACGCTGTCTGCCGCCCTGACGCCGGCTATAATATTAACGTCTCTCTGCCTTCTTGTTCCTCGGCATTTCAACTCCTTGTCCCTAGCTTCCGTCCGCCCTGCTCTCAAGTGATATTCATGCAAAGGTCTGCCGGGGACGGTATTCCAGCCCTTGTTCTACGAAAATAAACGCAATCCTTGCTCTTCTCGAGAGGCAGACTCATGTTGTTGATGCTGATCTACATCCAACGACGAACAAGCATGTAGCCTTCGAAGCAATCTAACACACACTTCACTTCATTTGCCGTTTCGCAGGCTCCAGGTTTTGATAGATGCTAGCTAGACACAAGGCTTGCCAGGGAATGTTCAAACAATGAGGAGGAGGATCAGCCGTGGAAATCGCGGTGGATGACAGACATCTGTGCTTGGAACTGTAGCAATTCCTCAAGTCTCTGTTTGTAGATGGACAGCTCAGGAATTCATTGAAGTCTGCTGACTGTGCGACTTGCCAACTAATATGCCCCGTGTAAGGCTGCCTGAACTGGCCAAGCCCGATCTTTCCGGCGGACTTGCCAGTCTTTTGCAATCGTTGCTGCCGCTGCTCACTTATCCAGCCAGCCGGCTTTCTACCTTGCCGGAGTCACATCACTGATGGCAAGGCCATCAAGGAAAGACGTTAAGTTGCCGATACTGAATTGATTGAAAGCAAGCGTCTACCTGACCGCGGAAGCAACCCCACTCTGGAGTCGTTGATCTCACCTTAAACCAAACACATAACCAGCAGCCAATGGAGCAAAGCTATGGCTGTCATGCGATTTGCCCGCAGGACAGCGAAGCTGCACCGCAGAAGCCGAAATTTCTGCTGCATGCATGCTGCACGAAGGTCCGAGGCTGGCGGTCATGGGGCACCAGGACTTCTCGAATCGCGGTGCTTAGCTACTGCCTTCTTCGCTCTTTAGCCAGATATAGGAAGAAGTTGGGCAGCCGAGGCGCTCTCTGGCACCTGCTGTGCAGAGACAGACAGTGACTCGGCAATGTCCTGAGCGCTGCGCGAAGCAAAGCTCTTTTCACGGCCCACTTATACCGAAGCTAGCGGCTACCAGCCGGCGTATCTAGGCACCGCGCCGGTCCACACCAATTTGCAGTGTACGCTTGGGGGTCGGGCATGGTCTGCCAGCCCAAGGATTCATCGCGTGCCCCTTTCATCTTCTCTGAAAGCCGAAGTCGGCTACAGGATATTCTGGAAAATCTGCTCTCGGACCTTACACAACCTTAAACACCGAGGGACCCTTGACTTGACCAACGAGGAAGCTCCCTTGCTCATGCTGCCAAGCCCGTAGGCGGTCTTCGGGCTTTGGGGCCTGCCCTTACTGCTCAGGCGATGGGGCTCGCACTCAAAGGTTTTCTGCATCTAGAAATGTGCAGTATGTTAGAATTATGCTTGAAAATCACATCTATCCAGCGCCTGCAGTCCGACAGATGCGGCAGAACAACAAAGAGTGGCTCTTCTCGCTGCATTTCGCAATTTTCGCCAAGGCTCCTCTACCGTGAGTGCTGTTTCCGACGAACCGTGAAGAACAGTTCTCCGTGCCACATTTTCGGTGATGAATGCCTGAGAACGAGATCCAAAGCGAAGCGTTGTCTCTGTAAACAGTTCCTCTTCTTTGTTCCTCATTCACCGAGGGGCCAAGTCGGAAGACACCTCCTGTGCCCAGACCGGGTCTTCCTCCCAGAACTTGGAGAGCGGCAAGAGTAGCCACTCAACGTCGTAGGACATGTACAGGAAGATGATATAGAAAACAGCGGGCAAGCCGAAGAACACGGCATCCTGACACCGTGCACTTACGTGCACTCTGCGTGTGCTGCATACTTTGCGGATTCTTGCTGGATCAGTTCACTGCAGGATAAACTCATCGTGTGGACACGCAGGCATCGAAACGGGACGAAACCCTTCCGGCTCGTGGAGCCTTCTTGAGACCATCCTTGGCTCGAGGAATGGAACAGCAGACGCCAAACGAAGACCCCGCAGGAAAGGAAGGAGAGAGCAAGTGTACCCTTTCGAACGAAGGCGTGTCAAGCATCAAGCAAAGCCTGGAGATTGTGGTGTTCAGCGTGCATCTTCTCGGCACAAATCATGTGAAAGATGAAGTGGGACAGCGCCAGCACCTCATGTCCAAGCAAGCTGCCATGCTTTGGTTCTTTTGCGACGGCATACCCTCGACGACTGAGCAATTGGCACATGTGATAATGACCCACCAGAACATAGGGTCCTAAAAGGCGGATGCGCAAGATTGAGCTTAGGCTGGCAAACAACGAAGTTTCTCCTTGTAAGGTGCTAAGTTCTGGAAGTCCACCAGGACTTTATGCCGGATCATGAGGTAGAACCTCGCTCTTTGTGAGACTGATCCATTGCTGCGGTTGGAGCAGGGTCTTTGCAAACACACACACACACACACCCACCCCCACGCACACGCACACGCACACGCAGACGCACACGCACACGCACACGCACACCCACACCCACACCCACACCCACACCCACACACACACACCCACCCCCACCCACCCACACACACACACACACACGTTTCTTCTGTTGAGCCTCCTTCCCTTCAGGGTAAAGGACATACGTTCCATATGGATACAGTTCTCAAGCATCCTAAAGGATTTCGTTGATTCTTCCTCTCTGTCTTCAGGGCTACGAATTATGGGACCATGGCTGGAGACGGTGTTCACCAAAGGACAGGATACCCGAACTCCACTGGGAAGCAGTGGCACTAAACCACTTGATTCGGCCTCGCGCAGTGAGGCTGCGAATCCTGTCCGAATGTGACTACAACTCCTTGGTCGCCAGGGTACTAGTTACTCGTACATCAACGCCTGCTGCATTGTTTATGTAGGTTTCGATGTGCACAGACACAGGCGGTGTTTGAACCAGAGTCAGCGCATAGCCGCAGAATGCCAGAGATGAGCCGGTGCAGCACCAGGCTTCAGGACCGATTGTACGGTCTCCGCACGTTGATGCATGTGTGTGGCCGGTTCGTTGCATGTTGCTTTCTTTGTGCCGACAGTACTTGTGTTGGCAGCTAGTACATGTCGGAGACGCTTGAGGGCTGTGCCTGCGGGTATCCTTCCATGTCGTCCCAAATGTGGCTTGGTATTTCAAGGCAAAAGATGTACTGGAGACCAACCGGCTAAGATGCTTAGATCAAACAGCTGGAACGAAGATAAACGGAACGAGCGAGCAACCTGCTACAACTTCTGCCGAGGCCGTGGCAATCGCTGGCACAAGATAAGTTGTGATGCCACCATCAATGCCACGACAATTGACACTGGTGGAAAGCACCTGCCATGTGCGGCCCACGCAAGTAATGTCGGAAAAGTCAACGACAGAGACCGAAAGCAAGCCCGAGAATATGACTCTGGCAAAAGAAGAGAGACAGAGAGAGAGAGAGAGACAAAAAGGGAATGGGAGTGAGAGTGTGGGTGAATGAGACTGAGTGCTACGGATCGAGTCGCAAAGCATTTTCGACAACGAAGAGGACCGATTCCGACAACACCAGAAATTCAAGATGACAATTTCGAAAAACGCACGAGACAGATTCGGGGAATGAGGGCGAAGTGAGTGACAACTCCCAAACCCTAAAAGCCAACATATTGATTGCAAACCAAAGATGTGGATGGGAAAGCCTCAAGAGAAGCTCGCAGGTGGAAAACCTTACCGAAAAGAAGATCTTGGGATGGCAACTCGCAAACCTAAAAACCCAATATTGGTTTGCAAACCCAGGATCTCAAAAAGAATATGTTCTTGGAACAACACATTGCCAAAACCAGAAAAAGCTCGCGGGTGGGAGGCCCTAAACCGTGGCACCTCCCAAGCCCAGAATTTGGCAAACAAACGGTCTCAATAAAGGAGATGTTGCTTGGAAAGCCTCAAAACCCAAAAAGGACTACTCCCAAACCCTAAAAGAACATCAGGCAAACCCGCAATCCGGCTGGCAACTCCCAAACCCTACAAAGCAGCACATCGGCTGGCGAACCCTAGGCCTCAAAAAAGGAGACATGTTGCTTGGAAAGCCGCTAAGCCCCCAAATGAAGCTCGCAGATGGCAAACCCCCAACCCTGAAAAGAAAATCGCGAATGGCAAACCCCAAAACCTAAAACAACATATTGATTGGCAAGCCCTAGGCTGCAAAAGGAAATGTTGCTTGGACAACACCCAACATGTAAAAAGAAGCTCGCGGGTGGAAAACCCGCAACCCTAACACAAGATCGTGGGTGGCAACGCCTGCTGCCTGAAAGAACATCACATCAGTTGGCAAACCCTAAACCTCAAAAAATGTGATGGTTTGAACACTCCAAAACCCCAAAGGAAGCTCGCGGGTGGCAGGCCCCAACCCGAAAAGCAACTCCCACAGCCGAAAAGCAACAACGCAAAGCAATGGCCTCAATAAGAGGACGTTGGTTGCAACACCCCAAAGCCGCAAGAGAAACTCGCAGGTGCCAAACCTCAATATCCGAAGAAGAAGAAGAAGATCTTGAGTGACTTGAGTGGCAGTTACCATACCCAGAAAAACAACGTGCTGGTTGGCAAGCCTTTGGCCTCAAACAGGAAATGTTGGATAGAAAGCCCCAGAGGTAGCACACCAATGGCAAACTCCGAACCCTAACAGAAGATCCGGGGAGGGCCGGTGTCAGCAAAAAAGTCAAAAACAAGGGAGGCAAAGTCGGTAAACAGCACCGATGGAAGTCAAAAGCCGCGGAGGCGAGTTCAGCAAACACCGCAGCCCGTATCGGAGGCACCGCAGGCCCAAACAGCAAACGCCCTGAGAAAGCTGACCGGCATTTAAATGCAGTTCTGTCTGACGCTTTTTCGAGGGTTTAGGGTTTAGGGGGTTTCAGGGAGTGTAGGTAGGGTTTAGGGGTTTAGGGTTCAGGGGATTTCAGGAAGTTTAGGGTTTGGGGGTTTTGGGTTGAGGGGGGTTTCAAGGAGTTTAGGGTTTAGCGGTTTATTATGGGGTTTAGGGTGCATATGGCGCAGGGTCTAGGGTCGAAAGGTTGAGGGGTGGAAAGGTTGAGGGGTTTAGGGGTTGCAGGGTGTAGGGTTTAGGGATGTTTAGGGTGTAGGGTTTCAGTTCATCTGGATTCAGGAGTTAGGTCGCGTTCCGTTCCCATTTTTTGTTGAGCATCGGGGTGTAGAATCTCTAGGTTTCCAGTTTACAAACTCTAGTAGGCTCAGCGGGTTGTCGAGGTTTGGTAGGTGGGGTGGTGAGGCCGCTCTAGAGTAACCATTAACACCCTCCCCTGTGGGATTACATCGGGGATCCTAACGTTACGGCATGTTACGGCCCTAGACCCGGAGCCTCCGAAACCTCCTGCACATGGGAAAAATGTCCGGGACATAAATACCACCCACCCCAAAGCTCTATAGCCTTAAATCCTAAAGCTAAGCTTATACTGCTAACCCTAAAGCCCTGAACCTTAAACCCTAAACCTTAAACCCTAAAGCCTAAATCTCCAAGCCTGCAAAACCCCTCAAAGCCCAAAAACGGTTCCGGCTTCAGCCTTCAGCTCCTAACACCCCAAGGCCTCCTTGGGTTTTAGGGTTTAAGGTTTTAGGGTTTTAGGGACGTGGTTTGCATTTGCGAGCTCTGCTTGTTGCTGAATTTGGGCTCTCCTGTCTTTGACTTTCGCGCCCGCTGTTTGCGACATGAAGCGTTCCGGATTCTGACTCTCAGCTGCCTGTTTGCTGACTGTTTTTGCGGACTTCGGCCCGCGTTTGCTGAATGATGCTTCTGTCCAGAAGATCCTGGGTAGCAACTCCCAAACCCCAAAACAAACAACATACTGGTTGGCCAACCGTAGGCCGCAAAAAAGGCAATGTTGCTTGGAATACCCCAAAACCCCAAAAGAAGCTCGGGTGGCTAACTCCAAACCCTCTAAAGAACAACATATTGGTTGGCAAGCCGTCAGCCGGGTAAGACTAATGTTGGTTGAAAAAGCACGTGGCAAACCTCAAGCCCTACAAGCAAATAGCGGGTGGCAGTTGCCAAACCCGAAAACACACACAGACCTTCCCACGCCAAAAAGATATGGGTTGCAACACCTGCAGGTGGAAAGCCTCAAAACCTGAAAGAAAAGCGCGGGTGGCAACTCCCAAACTCTAAAGCTCTGAAAGCCCACCACTCGTTGGCAAACGCTAGGCCTCAAAAACGAGACGTTGCTGGGAAAACCCTAAAAACCCCAAAAAAGATGCTCGCGGGAGGCAAACCCTAAACCCTGAACAGAAAGATCGTGGGTGGCAACCCCCAAAGCCGAAAAAACAACCTGTTGGTTGGCAAGCAAACCCTGGCCTCAACAAGGAACTGTGGGATGAAAAACACCGAGACGCCAACTGAAGCCCCAAAACAACCTTACGCGTGGCGAACCCCAGAATATCTTGGGTGGGAAACGCCAAACCCCAACAACAACTGTTTGTTGGCAAGCGCCAGGCCTTAAAAAGGAGATGTTGACTGAAACCCCAAAACAACCGTATGAGTGGCAAACCCAAAACCCGAAAAGAAGATCGTGGGTGGCAACCGCCAAACCAGAAAAAAAAAGACATGTTGGTTGTCAGGCCCCGCGCCTCAAAAAGGAGATGTCGGCTGAAAAACACCGAAACCCACAAAAGAGGCTCGCAGGTGGCAAACCCCAAACTCAAAAATAAGATCGTGGGTGGCAACTCCCAAACCCGAAACAACAACATGTTTGCTGGCAAGGATATGTTGCTTGGAAACCCAAATGCTGTGCAGCAGGAGTAGAAGCTGCACAGCGAAAGAAGTGACCACAGCAGCAGCAGCAGCAGCAGCTCTCGATTGGGCATTTGCTTCAGAGTCGTCTTCGGCTTTTTTCGAACTGGCTTCCGAACTTATATGCTGAATCGGGCCAGTGTTTTGACAAACCCTCTATCTACTCTCTGAGAGTGCGAGTCAGTCAGTGAGTGGGTATAGCCGTATAGCCACTGCAAAAATGGTAAGGAAAGCATCAAGTTGGGGAATAGGAGTGGTGTCAAACTGGCCACAGCACCGAACAAAAGCTTTCGTAGCTTCGCAGACATAGCTTTCCAAAGGTCCGATGATGGCCTGCCGGCTGACTCGTTCATGCAACTACTTGCTTAAACCTGCGTTGCCATTGCACATTGGATTGATTTAGGTATATCCTCCAGCTCGCAGCGACCAAGGCACAGGATTGCAATCCATGAGGAAATCTTTAGCATCTGCTTGCAACATCTTTTGAATACCTTGGCTGCTCAAGGGGCAGAGGCAGACCGCAATTATCGGGGGTTTGCGCCTTCCGATGACGGCTCGACGCCTTCTTTTTGCCAAGCCTCGGGTGGAGAAGACCTGAAGCGCCACCACGGCCAGGGCCAAGCACCTGAGAGAGAAAGAGAGAGACAACCAACACGTCAACTCCTCATACTCCTCGCAAAAGCGTTCGCTTCCAAACCACCTGTCATGACTGCAGCTGGGAGTCTGCCGCCCTTAGCGGAACTGCAGCTCTCTCCGCTAACGCTCTTTTCCGACTGTATGGCCCCTTCAGGCTTCAAGGCTTGGCACGCGGCATGTACATTGTTCAGATCCACGCAGATCATTCAAACTCGATACTTTCTGCAACAGAGCAATGCCCATCTTTAGTGGAGTGTGTAATACTGTCTTGTCAGGCCTAGGAACCCCTACCGACATCTTGCGGCAAGCATGGTGAGGGCAAAACTTGTGGTCACACATCACCGATGCACGGCTGTTGACGCCGGCACATATCTGCAAAGTGTGCTGCAAGGCCCAGCCGAAGTCGGAACCAAACGATCGGAGACATGTGCTGGGCCCTAGGCGCGGAGACAGGAGATCAAGAAATCCCAGGGACCGACTACCATAGCCGTGTAGGCGAAGACAAACAAAGGCTCCCCAAGCTGCTCCTCAGCATAGGCACCAACCCGCACTTCCCTATCATCTTGCCATGCAGTATAACTTCAAGCTCTTCTCGCGATCAACATCCGCACACCATTCCACATTACTGCTGAGCTCAGGTCCCACTCGAAGACTCTCGGGTCTGTATACTCTATAGAAGCATCTGGCGCACCTCACCGGGCATGGAGGGTATGGTGATCGTCAGAAGTGATTGTCACAAGATGTCAGAATCATAGCACACTTCCAACCTGGTGCCACTTGTGCGTAGCTGAGATCACCTGTGCAAACAAACAGCCGAAAATCCTAGCCGCCTTTTCTACCAGGCGCTCGACAAGGCACGTGGCGGTCAACCGACCGAGGATGACTCGGGCTCTGCATTCATTCTCTCAAGAAAGCAAGGCGCAAGGATGCGGGTTCTACTGATCTGCACATGTGGTACTGTAGGTCCCACCTGATTCTCGCATCATTCCGAGCCAAGCAGATGTGGCCGCGGTCTGCGTTCAGCCCAGCCCATGGCGCATCGAAGGCGTGTTGTTGCTGACAGCTTTCGTAACCATGTATATGCGTACTCGCCTAGCACTTCTGCCATCGGAGGCCATGGCTGCACCGCATGATTCTGTGAAGAACTGCTGGGTCTCGTGCTTTCAACATGCTGACGGCGTGGTCAGTGGCACCTCCTGCTTGCGCATTTTCCTTCCCAACTATGGGGCATACCGTTCAGAGGGCTTGTCATGCACTGGCCCCAAAAGCTGCATTGCTCCTTTCGAGCAGATCATAGCTTTAGCAACGCTCTGGGCTTTTTGCGCTTCTGCGAGATCCAGTGCCCCTCTCTGTCAAGTTTATAAACACAAACAGGCAAGCACGCGCGCACGCACACGCACACACGTGCGCGCACGCACGCACGCACGCACGCTC